TATGTCTCTAGCTTTATATAAAGCACAAAGCCATAAAAAACACTGCTTTTCAGTATTTACTGACGAATTCAGTGAGTATTTCAATTCATGACTGGCAGTAGCATGGGTTAACTGACTTTCATTTGGAAGACATTTTCTTTCCATTCATGAAGTGATGTTTGTTGTTAAAAATAAAACAGGCGAACATATGCTTTTTGATGAGTTTGAGTTACAGTGCTTAACAGTTAGTCTGTGTGGCCTCAGATTTAATCACCTGGGATCAATTTATTTCAATTTAAATTAAAAACTCTACCATTTAATACTGAATAATTTGCAACAACATGGATAAACCTGGAAAACACGATGTCGAGTGAAATAAGCCAGCCACAGAAAGACAAATACCGCATGATGTCACTTATATGTGGAATTGAAAAATGTCAAACTTGGAGTAACAGAGAACAGAATGGTTGCCAGGGACTGGGGGTTGGGCGAAATGGGAAGCTGTTGGTCAAAGGGTACATAAGCCTTGAGTTATAAGATAAGTAGGCTCTGAAGACCTAATGGATAGCATAATGATTATAGTTAATAACAATGTATAGTATGCTTGAAATTTGCTAAGGAGAGTAAATTTCAAGTATTCTGGCCATAAAAAAGTGAGGTGATGAATATATTAGCTTGATTGTAGTAAGCATTTCACAATATATATGTATGTTAAAACTTCACATTGTATACTTTAAATATATGAAACGTTTATTTGTCAATCACATATCAATAAAGCTGTAAAAAGTTTACCATTTAAACATGCAATTTAATGCTCAACATTCCATTTTCACAATATATACATATATCAAAGGGAAAGCAAGAAGGCTCCTCTCTTTATAAAAGTCTAATTAAAGTTTTTGTCCCCTCTATCACATGGCAATAAATAGTTGTCAAGAATACTCTTGATCTCACCAACTTTCTTTTATTTGTCCATTCCTTTCTTTATTATATCTGCTTTAGGTCACTTTATCTTATCACCTTGATCCAAATTTCTCACTCTTCATTCTAACATTTCAATTAAACATGTCTTTTACTGAAACAGACAAAAATAATCCATTTCTAACATGTTGCCTTCTTAAATTCTTCCTACAGTATGCTATATCTCTAAATTAATGGGAAATTATAAAAATTACACAGAACCAACTTAAACATTCTTTGACAGATTAGAAAGAAACTACAAGTGTCAAAAATATCGCTCTTTTTTTGTTACTATCAAGTACATGTTTGCACTTAAACCAATACATTTGTATATTTACATTTGATTTTGAATTATGTGAGGAACATCCCTTGCAGGCCATTTAACTGTCAAATTTGTATTAATCTTAATCTGTATTAATATTAAGAGGAATATATTCAGTTTTGGATGGCTGAAAGGTTTTTGAAAATCAAACTTAAAAGGAGGAAAAAATAAAGAGAAAGCACTTTTTACACGAGTTGATAAAGTATTAAAGTCAAATGTTTTAGCTGGAGTGTTCATGAGCTAGCGCCACTGAAATTATGAAGACATAAATTTAAACTCATTCCCTTCTATGTCTTTTCTTTGAGTCTCTGAAGGAAAGGAATTGAGTCTTCAGAAATCAAAATGAGAAGTGCTGAGAAATAGAAGAAATGTTTTGCTAAATTGCTTTTGCTCCTGTCATACTAATGTTGGGAAACTGTATCAGAGTAGAAAGGAGCGTTCTTGGTTTTCATATGTACCTGATTGCTCACCAGGAATTAATCACAACATTCATCTTCTACCTAGTGTTTAAAAACCAGCTTCTGGCAAGTTTAATAAACTCCTATTTACATAAGCAATCTTCTTGTGAAACCGCGAAGTAACCCGACTAGTGCTGGAAAATTTGTATAAATTTCTAAACCTCAGAAAAATCTTATATATCTCTGTTAGTCCTTATTTGTTGCAATTCTTCCTTGCTTTACTGTTTCTTTTCTTTATTTTAAATAACTTTATTGAGGTAGGCTGAAATACAAAAAGCTATACATGTTTAATGTGTGCAACTTGATGAGCTTGGAGATAAGTGTATATTCATGAAATCGTCATTACAATCTATGCCATAAACAGATTTACCACCTCTAAAAATTTCCTCCCACTCTCTTTATGATGATGATGATGATGATAACACTTAACATATGATCTGCCCTTCTTATAAATTATTAAGCAAACAATACAGCATTGTTAACTATAGCACTATGCCATACAAGAGATCTTTAGGATTTATTCATCTTGCATAGCTAAAACTTTGTACCCTCAGACTAATATCTTGTTTGTCTCCCCTCTCAATCCTTGGCAACCATCATTCTGCTCTGTTTCTATGTGTCGGACTCTGCCAGGTTCCTCATTTAAGTGTGTCATAGTATTTGTCTTTGTGTACCTGAATTATTTTATTTAGCATAATGTCCTCCAGGTTCATTTATGTTATCACAATGGCAAGATTTTCTTCTCTTTTATGGCTGAATAATATTCCATTTTTTTGTATATACCATCTTTTCTTTACCCTGTCATTAGTTGATGGACATTTAAGTTACTTCTATGTCTTGGTCATTGTAATGATGCTCAACAAACATGGAATGCAGAGGTTGCTGTTAGTATTTTGGTTGAAAAGTACCACACCAGTTGACAATCTCACCAACAGTGCATGAGGGTTCCCTTTTCTCTGCATCTTCACCAAATCTTGTTTGTTCTTATTGATGAGAGCCATCTGACAGGTATATGGTAATATGTCATTGATTTGTCCTCAACTATATTTCAGTCCAAGGTGCACAATTTCATTTTATAAAATGTTTCCAGAAATCTAAGGTTTCTTCTATGGACATCTAGGGAAGTGTGATTGAATCATATTTTAATAGGAAGTCATAGTAGTACTTCTTAGTCTAGGATTATCAAAGATTGGGTTTGATTCCCAACAGACAACTTAGACATTCTAGAACTGAGAATCTTGTCACAAAAATGAAATTATTTTTTTTCTCTAATTGCAGTTGAATAGGCCATTTTAATTGTAAATATAAACACAACTACTCTATTAATGTGCAGTAGTGATATATATTTGCCAAGCAAGTAGCTCAACATCTTAGGTTTATGAAGTATAAATATATTTATTGGCATCATTCTTCATAACACCTCGTTCATATGTGGAGTAATAAAATATTGAATTTTTACTGTCCTATCCCCATCCCAAGTGGAGGATATGTCCAATGTTCACAGTTAAAAACTATTACAAACAACTCATTCCCAGGATGCCCATACAAATAAATGGTTCTAAATGAGGAATAATTTTGCCTCTGAAGACATTTTGCAATGTCTGGAGACATATTTATTGTCACAACTGGGTGGTGGTGGTGGTGATGGTAGTGCTGCTGGCATCTAGTGGGAAGAGGCCAGGGATGCAGGTAAACATCCTACGATGACAGGACAGCCCTACACTAACAAAGAAGTATGCAACCCAAATGATAATAGTGCTAAGAGGTATGGAAACTCTGAAGAATGTGAATGCTTGGTTTAAGTACAGGAACCAAAGCAGAATGATTAAAGACCATGAGCAAAAAAAAAAAAGTGGGGGAGGGGGTGGGATGACACAAACAAATGAATGAAGAAAACATGAATAATGTGATGACCCAAAAATGAAAGATGATCATCCACTTCCTCTCAATTCTTTCTCATATTCAGTGGTAGGGTTAGACTTTTCACTCAATTAGCTCTGTGTAAGACCTGATATAGTAATTAATTTTTTTCATCAAAGTAAGTAATATAAAGTACATTGAGCTTAATTCAGGGAAAATTCCATGTTTTCATTTATCATGTCACCACTTATTACTATTTTGGTTTATTTAAAATCAAAATAAATGTCATGAACATGGAAGTTATGAAAATGTGGCTGTCACATCTCCCACTGTAGGGAGCATAATTGACTGTCAGCTCCAGCTGCCAGTCTCTGAAACTACCACAGCATTTATGCCAAGGTCACTTGGCCAGTGACTAAGCTTGAAAGGCCCGTGTCTGTGAGACAGGGAATTCCTTTAATGGGAGTCTTACCAAAATTTTCTTGGAACTACCCTGAAGAAGATTATTCTAACCCAATCTTCCTTCCATCCTTACTTCTTTCCCTCTCTCTTGCATTGAGTTCAGACCTGCATGGCGGTCTGATGGCTCCCCTAGGATTCTCCAGCTACCTCACATTTTCCCTAACAAGTATTTTCCCAGCAGATCACTTTCATGTCAAATCCTACTTGGCAGCTATTTCTCAAAGGACTACAATGGACACAGTAGATCAGCAAGATTTATTTTTCATAAGAAGTGATACTGTATTCCTTCTATTGGCAACAGTGAGTTTTATGTGATTCCCCCACACTGCTTTCGAAGCCCATGTTATTTGCGTTCTTGTTGAAACTTACGTTTTTATCCCCATTACTGCGCTTGCTCCATGACACTGAATTAGAATTGTATGTGTGTGAACCCTGTGAAGGCAGGGAATTTATGAATTTGTTTGGCACAATGCCTGCTTTATCATCAGAACTCAACAAATATTATTTTCAATGAATGCCTAACAAAAAACAAAATTTTCTGAAGCAATTAGATGAACAAACGCACCTATGAGAGGATATAAATTAAGACATAAGACATGCCATATATTTAAATTCTTCTCTAAACTTCCTGTTTTCTAACCAGCAAAATATTAATGAAACATGAAACAAAACAAAAAAATACGTTTTCCTAATGAAGACAGTTGAAGGTACAGGATATATTCACTAAATATACCATATGAATAAAAAATAGAATGCCATAATCCATCCTAGAGAAATGTTTATTTTAGATGCCATATCCATTTGAAATACAGTTACATGAAAGTATCTTAGAGAAAAACTTTAGAAAGAATTTAACAGAAGTGATTCTGAGTATTGGCATAACAATGAAAATTTAAGATATATCTCACATGCCTGCTTTAGAAAAGGTCACAGGCTGAGGTTACTTTGTCCACGGTGAATTGTATACTGCCAGGAGGACTGTGATGGTGAGTACTGGTGCTGCAGATAGTCAATAATTGCAGATATTGGACAAGATGAGTGTCAAAGTTTCATAAAGTGCAGACATAACCATGAGATGATGGAAGATACTCAGTAAGTTGATCCAAAACAGCGAGAGCTGAAGGCTGGTTGGTAACAAGTTGACGGGCAACCCCTGGAAGGAAGGTAAGATGGGCGGTAGAAGCCGGACCCACAGCCCGGAGACTGGAAGCCAGCACTTCCATACCCAAAAGGCCCAAGGCCGATATTTCCACATCCTGAAGATCCAGCGTAATTTGTTTGGCAGGGGCTGCAGAACATGGAATTCCTCGGGCGGAAGCAGGATGTCTGGTAGGAGCTGGCCACAGAACAGGGTGTCTGGCAGCTGGTGGGCTCCCAGCAAGTCTCCTGACAGCCATCGTAGGTAGAGGAGCCCAGCTGGCAGGTGCTGGGAGAGAGGACTACCTTGCTGGGGTAGATAGTATCGTGGAAGGAAACTGGGCGCTGCAGGCAACCTCCAAAAGAGCGAGAGGAGAAGTTCCCAGAGCGGCAGTTGTAAGACATGTTGATAGGAGTTCTGAGTTCAGCTGAGTTGCAAAGAGGAATTTGTGACTGTGAATGTTACCTTCCATATGGACACTTTTATACCCTAGCAATGGGTGTAGGAGCATGTGCCCATTTTAATACTAATGCTTAACTAGGCTTCAGTCAAAATGAAACGCATTAACCTTCAAAGACCTTTTTTATGAATGCAGACTTTTAAAGGAAATAATTTCATTAGTTTTTCAAAGTGATTGTTCATGAAGCACAACTGTCATTTCTCATTCATCTAGCTTGGGTAGATGAGTTTAATTGTGCCATAATTGTACGTATGAGATTGATGTTTTATGCATCCTATCCTTGATTATATCGTATTGAATGGGTAACACTGATAATTTTGTTATGTTTAAAGCTCTAAAAGTACTTTGTAGTCTGTAGGGGCTATTTATTTTGTTCCAGTTTAGGAACCCAACCAAAAAAAGAAAAAAAATCCTCAATATTTGTTCTATCTTACAAATCTTGTGGACCTTATAGAAAAAGAACTTACTAACAACCCTTAACTGGTAGAAATGCCAGATGAGTGTTTGACACATTTGGATATTAGTTTTCTTACAGCACAAGTACCCTAGCCACTCTTGTGTGTATGATTTTTTAATTTGAGAATAAGGGCCCATTATTTGCAGGAGCACTTTGAAAATTACATTGTGAACATATTTAAGTGAAGGAATCCTTGCTCTGAAATTGACTTGTTTTGTTATAGAAGTCATAAGTAAATTAAATTATAAAAAAATTCACCATCTCCTGAATTCTAAGCAGTTTTTTTTTGTTGGTATCAATGCTATTGAAAACAAAATAATAAGTAATACACATAAAAAATAGGCCTTTATTCCTTTAGTGTCCTTTCCCAAGGTGGGAATTTTACCATAGAAGGTAAAAAATAAAGAAAGAAATTAGAAAGTGTCTTACCCATGTAGACTTCATGGAGAGATCATATTTAAATAATTCATCATTACAAATGACCTTTATAAATTGAAATGGGGAGGGTATCAAAACAAATGATAATGTGAAATGGAGAATGAATACCTTTGGGATCTCTGATGTGGAACATGTATTGAGCTACATATATATTCTGCTTAGAGGACTAGTATTACATAAATATTTTTCTAAACTCTCCTGTTAACTTCATCATTGACAACTGTTAATAAGGTAGTGCATAGGTACAGGAAATGGCTTAAAATAAACTGTGGAAATGGGCAAATCTCTTAAGACTTTCATCTTCAATAACTGATATATTGTTCAATGGAAATGAGCCGAGGCTCATTCTATGAATTGAAATTACTAGGTGGATGTTTTAAGGGAAGATTTAGCAAACAACTTAACAAGAGCTAGTTTTGTAGATAATGAGATTTCATCTTGAGGGCACTGTGACTATCTAATCAGGGTGTTGTAAATGGTATTCCAATCTGGAGAGAACTGGACATAATTGCTAAATGCTCTTCCAAATGGTGGCTTTATGAATCTGAACATTTTGAATGGACGAATTGGTCTTCAATCATGTTTCATTTATTAAGTAACATAGTTTGTTCTCTGTTTATAAAATAAACAATTTTTATTTATTAAGCTTCTCAATTATAAATAGCAAAAGGCATTCTAGTAGATTCCAAACCTTCCCATTTTATTTGTCAATAAAATATTGAACATCAAAGCATCTAAATATTTAACGTACCTAAATTGAATTTGCTTGCTTGCTTCCAAGTCATCCTCTCTTATATAAACTATTTCTGTAGAAGAATATTCTATGAGATCAGACATTAAGTAATATTGAACCTTCTTTTCTCAACAAAATGGAGGTTTTTGCACGCAATTACTTTTACTGAGATGTGGAAGGGAAATGATTTTCTATGAAATGAACACATCAAACAGCGCAGACACCACACATTCTTTTCAATCTGCCCAATTCCTCAAGGTCTCAGTCTTTGTTACCTTACTACACAGAGTGGAAATACAAGTCATTGAACAAGAAAAAATATGAGCATTATTTTAAACATTTTGTAATACTTGAGAAACACAAGTTTCTTGTAATACATTTAGAAACACCTGAAAAAAATTTAATTTAAAGTGATGCCTGTTGCTTTCTGAAGCAAAGGGAGAATCGCTTTAATATGGCTCCTTTGGTCCAATACTTCAAGGCAATTACCTTACCAACTTTCTTCAGAAGAACATTTTCCAGATCCTGGGGAATTCTCTTAGTGGTAAACACTGTCTCTGATTAGAGATAAACAAAATACATGGGACATTTTTACCATATGTTTTGTGCTTATTTTTAATGCTGTTTTCAGCATCTTAGATGAATGACCTCTAATATTCCAAAATAGCATAAAACAATTTATAATGTTTAACTCATAGCACAGTAAACACAAAAGAAAGAAAAGCTAAGATTGACTCTTCTTAGTGTGCATACAGTTTTAAGCAGGGGCATGGAAAATAAGGGAATGTCTCAGTTAATATTTCACTAAAGCCATTTAAATTGAAATCGGACTGAAAAAAATCATATATCTTGCATATTACCATTGTTGCTTCTTGATGACATTATTCCTAAAGTAACCATGCCACTTCCGGTCAATAATCAATGCATGCTTTTGTTTAAAAGAAATGACTATGAATAGATCAGCTAGCAAATTTTCTATCCAGATGGCAACAATTTGAGACATTGTAAAAGGGGTATCAATTATTTTTAATTTAGCCAGCTTCCCTCAGCCCAGACACTATTTCTGATTGATCTGCTGGGTGATCTTTGGCAGAGGAAGATGACTAACAGCTTTGAGAATTCAACACTATTACCTGACTTCCAAGATACAAACATTGCTGCATTTTCCAGTCATAAAACCACAAAACTACGTATGTATGACTATGATGACCTTTTCAATTCAATTAAAAGCAGAAGGTAACATGTTTTTATATGCTATGTGGAT